ATTAAAAAATATGTAGATGATATCATACTGTCAATTCCCAAAACTGCCTGTTGACCACCTGTTGACAACCTTCAATAATTTTATTAAACACATACAATTCACAATAGAGGTTGAAAATCAAGACCATTTCGTCCCCTTTTTGGCCACCAATGTCATCAGAAACTCTGAGAATAAGCTAACGTTTGATTGGTATACAAAAAAAACTTTTTCAGGTAGATACATTCATTTCAATTCTTTCCATAAGACTAAACATAAAATAAACACTGTTTTAGCTATGAAACATCGTATCACTAACATTTCAGATCCTCAATTTTTACATAAGAATTTAAATATTTTAAAAAACATCTTTTTACCAAATTAATATCCACATAAACTTCTCAACAAAATTTTATTTAATATCAGTAACCTTGTTAATACCAATAGTGACACTATAAAGCAGTGTTTTTCAACCTGTGGGCCGCGACCCCCTGGGGGATCGCGAAGCCTCTGTAGAGGGGTCGCGAGAACTCAGTAAAAAAATCAATAAATTTCAAGAAGGTAGATTAAAAAAAGTTAACAAAATGATACATGTTATGTTGTTTATACAAACACATTAACAAAAAATAAAATCTTCGAGTACTCGTTCATTTTAATGTGAAGGTTGCGCTTGACTTTGTTCAATCAATTTCTCCCATCGTGGATCCGTTTTTGCAACTTTAAGTATTAAATCGTTTTCCAAATTTAAGAGATTTCTTAGTTTACTTTTTATTTAGGCCATTGATGAAAATGCCAACTCGCACAAGTACGAGGTAGAAAATGGAATCAAACACTTCAAAGCCTCGGTTGTTAATTCCGGGTATTCTGTTTTTCTTTTTAACCAAAAGGTATCCAAATTTTCAGACTTGAATTTCAAGTGTAACATCCCATCGGCAGATAATTCCAGCAGATTCTCTTTGAGCTTAGTTGCTAAATTTGCCTCATTTATAGCTGCATTTAAAAACGGATTTAAGATCCATCTTTGCCCAGTGTTAATCGATATCTCTTGCACTGAGAAGTAATGACACAACTCTTTCTTCAAATTATCTAACACCATTTTCATACCAGATATATATGAGTTAATGTTTATCTCGCTTCCGACTTCTTCAATGAAAGACTGTGTCGACGAAAATGAATCAAAGTTGTTTTGATTTATAGATGATGACCACAATTCAATTTTTTTTATAAAGCCATGGAGTTTGTCTTTTGCTGTAATGACATTTTCATCCCGCCCTTGAAGACTTTTATTCAAGTTGTTTAAATGCTCAAATAAGTCGGAAAGAAAAGCCAATTTCAAAAGGAATTCCGGGTCAGAAATGAATTCAGAGTAATGTGACTTGGCTTGTTGTAAATATACTAATAGTTCAGCGCGAAGTTCCATAACTCTGGTCAGTACTTTGCCTTTTGATAACCACCTAACCTCTGTGTGGTAAAGCAAATTGCGGTGTAGTGCCCCCATATCTTCACAAATGATTCGAAACAATCGAGTCTGCAACGCTTTTCCTTTGATAGAATTTACAATGTTAATAATAATATTTAGAACTTGACTGTATTCTTGTGGCAAGGTTTTGGCTGCAAGAGCTTGGCGATGGAGAAAGCAGTGCATCCAACAAGCGTTTGGCATTTGTTCTTTCAGTCTAGCAATAAATCCACTCTTCGCACCAGTCATGGCTTTTGCTCCGTCACTACAAATAGCAATGCATTTTTGTGCCCAATCGATATTCATATCTTGCGTAGCTTCAACGAACATGTCATGCAAGAACTGACCTGTAGCATTTTTGGGAAGTGCCTTGCAAAATAGTATTTCTTCCATCAATATTTCATTGGATTCAAAACGCACAAAAGCTACAAACTGCGCACAACCCGCAATATCCGTTGATTCATCAAATTGTAAGGACACAAAAGAACTTTTCTTTATTTTTTCTATGACTTGATCACGAACGTCAGTCGCCATATTGCTTATCCTGCGTTGAATGGTATTGTCAGAGAGAGGTATACTTTTGAGCTTTTCGACCTCTTGTTTGCCAAATATAATCCCTGCTATATCTAAAGCCGCTGGTAAAATCAAATTTTCGGCAATACTGTGAAGTTTTCCTGCTTTAGCCACACGAAAAGCTACTCGATAACTAGCGAGCAACGCTTTTTCATTTAGGTTGGACATTTGTCCTATAGCAGTTTTTTGATGTTCAAGAGCTTTTAGTTTCCGCTCAAAAAATTCCACGGGTTTATTTTTTTCATTAGGATGTTTTGTGTTTAGGTGGCGTACCAACTTCGATGGTTTCATGCTTTCTCTTGACAAAATTTCAAAGCAAATTACGCACTGCGGTTTGTTCTCAATGACAGTAAACCCAAATTTCAAATAATTGTCGTCATAAAGACGTTTTTTCTTTATTCCACTACTCCCACTAGACGTTGATGGTCTTTTTAGGAATTTATCCATTTTCAATTATAACAGACAACTCAAATAAATACTACTTGCACTCAACTGCCGTGGCCGCGGTCGACCTGATTTATAGGGTTATAGGCCAGCGTTTCTACCGAGAATCATTGCAAAGCGTAACGAAATGTCTCGAAACTTGTGAACCTTTCGCGCGGGCGAATATCAGCGCCATTAGATGGCGCTGGGAGTTTCGACCCTAACAAATATAACGCAAACGCCTAAAATTTTTGTATGGATTAAATATTTTTAACATACATGAAAAAAGGGGTTGGGGGGTCGCGAAATATTTTTTGTTACTAGGGGGGTCGTGTCATGAAAAAGGTTGAACAACACTGCTACAAAGGATCCTGTTAGATACAAGAAGTTAACTTTTGTTCCTGGTCTAACAGAAAAATTAATTAAAATTTTTCACGATAGCATCCCTGATTCCCGTTTCCAGTTTAAAAATTGTAGAATATTATCCATTCAAATTAGCTTCTGTTTTTTTCCAATTTAAAAGATAAAGTATCCTTAAGGTACCAATCTAACATCATTTATCGTGTCCCTTGTGGAGAGTGTCATTGTTGTTATATTGGCCAAACAAAGCAATGGTTAAAAAATCGTATGAACCAACATAGAAATGAAGTTAAGAACTGTAAAAACAATGGTTGCACTCTTTCCCAACACTCTTTGGAAACTGGACATCTATTTGATTTTGATAACGTAAAAATTTTAAGTAAGGAAAATAATTACTATAACCGTTTGTTTCTGGAAATGTTTCACATTAGAAATGAAAAACATACTGTTAACTTTAAAACAGACACAGGATCATTTAGCAATATTATTCTTTAATTTTCGATATTTATAATAAGTTTTGAGGGGAAAACACACCAAATTGTTGGTCGTTGATAGTTATTGTTAGTTATTTTTATGAAATTTCAATTTGCTGTTTGTACTTTTCCTTTTTTCATTTGTGTACATGTTATATGTAATTCTCGTTATCAACCACTTCACGGAGGAGGGCGTTAGTTGTTTTTTAGTTTTTAAGTTTTTTAACCTTTCATTGTACGCGTTGACTTTTACACGTGCGTTTCCATGTTATCAAGAGAAAAGATTTTTCTGTTATGAAAGTTTGATAATAATTTATTGTTTTCGACGTTTTTTGTATTAATGTTTGCCAGTTTCAAGAACTTAGGTATGTTTAAGAGGTTAAATTTTTTAATGCTGTTTTTCTATTGATATTTTGTCGTTGTAGAAACAAGCCCTGAGGAAGATTAAAAATTTAATCGAAATATTGGCATGTTAAAATAGTTGTTTTAATTGTCCTAGTTCCTACTCCTGAAATTTATTGCTTTTTTCTTAGAAGAAAAGAACATCATATTATCTTTTTTCTTTCTTTTTCAACAGCTACATACTTTTAATCAATAAAACGTTGTAGATTTTTTGTAATAACAGATGTTCCTGCAAATTTATAATTATTAAACATCAAATGTGGTGTCATAAAAATTCTTTATTAAAATTGATTCTCTTTATTTGATCAGCAAATAGTGTCAGTGTTATATCAATATAAAAAAGACAATTATTTTAAATGTCACTATTTGAAGGATAAGTATGTACGTAAAAATGCACTCATGTAGAATTGGTAAGTATGTATATATAAAGTTGTTTCAACCCGACAAATTTAGCAAAATGATGACTCAGCGAAAAAAAAATTATAAAGCGTTGACTAAAACTTTGACTAGCTCCTTTTATGTTTTTTGTGTGTGTTCGGATGGTAGAAATAATTAACGTTGAACGACTATTCAATACTGTCTAGCGGACGACTCTTAAGACGATTGTTTTCCCAGAGCGAGCGAAGACATTACCAACCTATACTACCAACTTACACATATTGATCTAACTATTGACGACTTTGGTATTTCTGTTTCTTTCTTTTCTTTGATTTGATCTTTTCTGCTACTGTTTGGATTTGGATTTGAGATTACTTGAACTTGTTCTTTAATCGGTATATGCTGTAATAAGTTCTGAGTTACAGCCTTGTCATCACTCTTGGCATTCTCCCCATTTTCCATGCCACCGGTTATTTTGGGCATAAATGTGGGTTCGTGCTCACTTTTATTCTAAATGTAGGGGTTATGTTTTTATTTATTCACCAAAACATCGGAATTGGAACTTAAGTTTTATTTAACAGTTTGACAAAATAAGAGTATTAATTCATTTCACTATCACTGGTCACCGTTTTGATCGAATCTACAATAGAAAACAATTTTTACTCTCGCGTTGAATTTTTCACCCGTCATTGATCTTACCGATCTTTTGCGTTGTGTTGCTTTTCGACTACTGACTTTCCGCCTAGGAAAGCCGACTCGTCCCACTACTGAGAGCCTTCAAAGACAAATCCTACATAAATGTTACTGATTTCTTGTTCACTTCTGATGTTCTCAACTGATCGATATGCCTCTTAATTATGTATTCATCATCCAGTTCTATTAAGTAGTGTAGATTTCCTAACTTCTCTACTACTGTTCTTGGTTTCCACAAACAACGCTGTATTTCGGGATTGCACTTTCGGGAAGTCAGGTTGTTGTGAATTATTATGGACTGGTATCTGCTGTTGTGAAAGATCAAGTTCAAATCAAGTTCTCAGATTTCTGTTCATGAATAGTTCTGCTGGTGTTTTTCCGTGTTCGGTTAGCGGTGTAGCTCGATATCGTAAAAGAATTTCATATAACTTTTCGTTCATACTACTTTTCTTACTATTCATAGTTTTCAAATGTTTGTTAGAGTAGCCACATATCGTTCAGCCTGTCGTTGGATAACCTGGTGCAATAAAATTTGGTCTAATTCCGTTTCTGTTAGAAAACTGTAAATTGTTGAGATTTAAAGATTGTTGCATTATCGGATAGCAAGATTTGTGGTATTCCTGTGCGACTAAAAATTTCTTTCATCATTAAAATCGTTGATGCTGTTGTCGGTGCTGTTTTTGTACATAGTATTTAAGGCCATTTTGATTTGGCATCTACCATTAGGAAGAAATAATGTCTTGAAAAGGTCCGGCGTAATCCATGTGAACGCGTTACCAATTGTTCTCTGGTATGTCCCATTTATGTAATGCAACCTTTTCTGGATTACTTCTAATTCGCACAGACTTCACATGATCGTACCAAGGTTTCAATGTCTCGATCAATATTTTTCCAATAGTACATTAAAAATATACATAAAATTTACAAAATGTACAAAAAATTTACAAAATGTACATAAAATTTAAAAATGTACATAAAGTTTTATATTTCAAATTAAGATTTTTACTAATCAAAGTTATCTGTTTTAATTAATAATATTTTTGAAGGTTTATGTTTTATTTGCCAAGTTTAACGGAAAATGGTTACAAAATGCTTTTAGTTCAGCCCAAAGATATCGAAGATTTAAATGTTAATTCAATTTTCAAATACGAAACTTTAATTCTTCTTGAACATTAATAAAAGTATTTTTTATAGACGACTATTTATTACACGAAGATTTAAGTTCTGGTGTGGTACTAATCGACGATCTTAAAAACGTAACCGCTTCTTTAATGGCTAAACTAGACTATGCACAATTACATTAAAATTCGTTGAGGTTCGTTGAGGTTTTACCATTTCGGACAAGAAGCATTCATATGCTAAATCTACACACAATAGCAATGCCAGTGGTCACTATTTTAAAAGCGATTTTAGCTCAAAAAGTAAAAAAAAGGTGAGTTTTTCTTTTTAAAGAGAATAATTTACTATAAAATTATATTAATTAGTTTATGGTACACAAGAATTTTGAAGATTTCTACAAGGAAATTGCTAAAAATCTCCTTCCGGTTGAAATTGGAGGTACAAATAGCACGCTGGAGGAATTAAAGACAAATTGGGAGTTTTTGGTTACCGAAAACTCGAATTTAAAGACAAAATTGGATGCAATTATGTTATGTGGGCTCGTTCCAAACCGAGAAGACTATTTTAAATCGTACGAGTACGGCGGTGATGGTAATTCCGACAATTAGAAATTGATTAAAAATCATGTTTTTAGTAATTTATTTTGTTTGTTGGTGTTGATTATATTAATAAATAAAAGAAATTAAACGATCGTAATTGATAAATAATATTAAATAATTATTCGTGACACGATCTTTTTATAAAAAGAAACTATTTTATTTCATACTAATATTTCGATCGTTTTTTTCGATCTTCATCAGAGTATGGAGAGGATTCATGGAGTTTGTGAATGGAATAAAGAAACTTTCCTAGCAGGCTTGAAGTTGCTCTTTGACGCTTCCATGTTTACTTTTAAAAATAAAACATATCATCAAATTTCAGGAGTACCAATGGGATCACCTATTAGCCCGATTCTGTCTTTAATAGTGATGGATTATTGTGTGAATGAAATTTTACATAATAATGATTTACAATTAACATTCATAAGGAAATATGTAGACGATTTGATTTTGGCTTGTAAAGAAGATTATATTGATAATATTTTATGTGTTTAACAAATTTCATCCTAACATTCGTTTTACGATCGAAAGAGAAAATAACAAAAGTATTCCATTTTTGGATACTATGATGATTAGAGATGAAAAAAACCAAATTATTTTTGATTGGTACAGAAAACCAACATATTCTGGTAGATATGTAAATTTTCATTCGAACCACACATTCAAACATAAAATTGCTACGGTGCTTACTTTAAAACATAGAATATGTAGTATAGTCGAACAACAGTTTAAAGATAAGAATCTGAACATTTTACGCAATATGTTTGAAAATAATGGTTATCCAAGAAAACTCCTTAATAAATTACTATTTTCCACTAATTTACAACATAACATTAGTAAAAATTTTAATACATCGACACAAACAAAACAATATAAAAAAATTCCATATATTCCTGGATTGACAGAATTACTTCGAATACATTTAAAACGAGATAATTTAACATTCATTAATATATTATACCCAAAAAAATTAAATAAATATTTCTCAACTTTAAAAGAT